GGCTTAGAGCATTTGTGAACCAATGTGGCTTAGAGCCATTTATGAATCAATGTGGCTTAGAGCCATTTGGTGACCAAAATGTGGCTTAGAGCCATTTAATGATCAATGTGGCTTAGAGCATTTGTGACAGTCAGTGGCATACGAGCCTAATGTGAAACTACGTGCCAAGTGGTCATTGTGGAATGGTGAATCACATGTGGTCCAGGGCCGTTTGTGAAATGATAGAAATTTTGAGGCAGGACCGATTTGTGAAATGATGAACTTATACTATTGTAACAGCTTGGTGATCAAAAAGAAGCCAAAGGTCTATGTGATGAATTGTAAATTATGAACCCAAGGACTCTTTTCTGAATGTGTGAAGTTCTTAGGCCAGGGGCCACATTATGACAATTATAAACCGATTATGTTGTCCCAACAAGCCGTACAGAGACAGACTAATTACATGATTTCAGCATTAAATATGTTTACAAGCATACTAGTACTATTGTTCACTGAGCTTGGCTCACCCTATGTTATGTCTGTTTCTGTAGGTAATCAACCAGGAGGTCGATCTTAGCTCGGCATCGTCATACTTTTGTCAGCCTAGGCACAGCCAAGCTTGGGGTCGGGACCCTACTTTTGTGGAGTTGTTAGATGATGGCTCACACTTTTGCTATTGGCTTAAGTTGTCATGTACTTAATGATTTTGTTATATACCCCACCTCGGGGTTGGTTTTGCATATGCCTGTAAATAACTAACTCTTAAATGTATTTTGGCTTTTGATGTACTTGTCCTGTGAAATGTTTATGATCCTGGCATGACTTAGTAGCTCAATGGATGTCATATTTTCTGGTTTTTATCAATTATGTTTTACAGCTTCCGGGCAGGCCCCTCTATGGAACCAGGTTAAGTGTCCTTTTCTGTTTAGGTCATGCCCAAACTTTTAGGGGCAAGTCTAGGGCGTGACACAGCGACTCGCATATACCTTTAGCCTTCAAACTCCGGTTCAAAGTGTCCAACAACGAAGCAAAATATGAAGCGTGTATTGTTGGTTTGGAAGCTGCCCTAGAACTAGGGGCAATAAGGTCGGATGTCATTGGGGACTCGAACTTCATTGTTTCTCAAGCAAACAGAGATTGGAAAGTCGAAGAAAACAAGATGAAGGTTTACCATAAGGCCCTGGATATTTTGATTTCGAGATTTGAAAAACTGACATTTACGCATCTACTTAGAGAGAATAATAGGTTTGCTGATGCACTGGCAACTCTATCTTCTATGGTAGACATCCCATATCCAATAATTATTGAACATAAATACAAACCGGCCTATGAGACCATCGCTGCGATGGATGAAGTGCAAGCCAAGAACCCCTAGTATTATGACATTTGGAACTTTCTGGACAAGGATTCATATCCACCAGGGGCAAATGCCAAGGACAAATGGGGTATACGGCTTTTGGCCGTCCAATATATCATCTGAGGGGGTAAGCTCTACAAAAGAAGCCATCAGGGAATGCACAAGCTGTGTATGGAGGAAGAGGAATCGAAGCGCCTTATAGAGGCCAACCACGGAGGGGAGTGTGGAGCACACATGAATGGTATGATGCTAGCTCGAAAAATCCTCAGACAAGGTTATTACTGGTTTACTATGGAGGAGGATTGTATTGGTTTTGTATGGAGATGCCACAAATGTCAAATCCATACCAATCGCATGAATATCCCACCATCAAAACTCTACAACATGACTTCACCATAGCCTTTCTCAGTTTGGGGAATCGACATTATCAGTGTAGTCTCGCCAAAAGGATCAAATGGACATGAGTTCATCCTGGTGGCAATTGAATATTTTACAAAGTGGGTGGAAGCTTAGTCCTATGCGGTGTTGAAAGCGTTGCATGTAGCCAAGTTTATACGAAACAACATCATCTGTCGGTATGGAGTTCCGAATGAGATCATATCAGATAACGGCTCGCACTTCAAGAAAAAGGTGGTGGATCTGCTTGAGAAATATAGACCACAGACCAATGGAGCTGTTGAGGCTGCCAACAAGAATATCAAGAACATCTTGCGGAAGACGGTGGAAACATACAAGGATTGGCCAAATAAACTATCATTCGTGCTCTGGGGCTACAGAACATCAATCCGAACATCTACAGGGACAACCCCCTATTCTCTCATCTATGGTATGCAGGTTGTTTTGCCAATTGAACTTGAAGTGCCATCGTTGTGAGTTATGGCCGAGTGTCAGATAGCGGAGGTAGACTAGCAGCAGAGTAGATTTAAGGAGTTAATGTCATTTGATAAGAGAAGACTAAAGGCATTGTATCACATCTAGGGCTACCAGCGTAGAATTGGTAGGGCTTTTAACAAGAAAGTTAAGTCCAAAAACCTTAACGAAGCAGACATGGTGCTGAAAGACAATCGAGCTCCCATCTATGACCCTAGGGGCAAGTTTCAACCCAATTGGACTGGTCCTTATATCATCAAATCTATCTGGTCAGGAGGGGTGATTATTCTTATGGACCAAGATGGCTTGGAGTTTTCACAGCCAATCAATATGGACAAGTTAAAGAAACAATATCCCTGAGAGGCTCGCTAGGCCGAAAACCCGAAAGGGTGACCTAGGCAAAAGTTAGAGCATGAAAAATTAGAAATTGAGAAAAACTGAGCTCGCTAGGCCAAAAATCCGGAAGGGCGACCTACGAAAAAGTTAGAGCATGAAAAATTAGAAATGAAGAAAAACTAAGCTCGCAAGGTTGAAAATCCTAAAGGGTGACTTTGGCAAAAGTTAGAGGGTAAAAGGAAAGAGTTAATGCTCGAGTGAACCTGAACTGAACTACGTAAGGCCTAATTCCCATTTTGGGATACGTAAGCAACTTCATCTTGATGTTCGGTTATAATCATCTCCAACTCAACTGTCCTATCCATTTTGTTTGATCAGGCCATCTTGGTCCATCGTCGTCTAGCTTGGTTGTGATACCTCTATTTCAGCAGAAGGGCCAGTTGCAAGACGGAGCAATGATCATAAATACAGTTGTGGGCAATTATGATCTTCTGATTTGGGGTTGTACATCTTAAGGATTGATTCCATGCGTGTCAGGCAGTGATCATTCCCGAAAACTATTTTGAAATTTTTTAATAAAAGTTGGTTTTGCTCAAAATTTTACCTTTTTACAACTTAGACCATTTTGGCACCAAAAGGAAAATTCTTAGTACTCACAACTTTAATTCCATTGATTTCAACAAAAGTAAATTCTCCAAACTCTCTGATTCAAATCAAATGTGTTTATTCATCAAAAAAATAAAATAAATTAAAAGGGGGGGTCAAAGCAATAAACAAGGGGCATAGAAAAGTTAGGTTGTTCTACATACTCTGCTCGTGTTTACGGAAGTCTCTGTAGCCAAAGTTGGCCCAACCTGTGCTTCATCCTCAAGCCAAGCCAAGCCAAGCACTTGCCAAAAAGGGCATAACTGAAGCTAGGGGTAGGGGCCAGAAGCTCTCTCATCCTCCAAGTAGTGAGGTACCTAGGCAAGTGGCAACCACGAATGGGAAATGAAGCCAGGTATTCCACCTCTTCTTCTGGACAAGTCTAACCATGTCCAAATTGGCGTCTAAACCAAAAGGGGAAGTAGAACACACAGTGTGTGAGGCCAATCAATTGAATGCCCGGCTGTTAGGATATGATGTAGCTCATTTCAGCCAAGTTAAGCTAGGGGCAACGCCAAGCTATGTCAGCTAGAGATCTTCTGCACATCCAATTGCACCACCATCCCTCATTAGGAAAGTCCACTAGTCGCTAGTGGAAGAAGTAAGCTTGGGCTAAATATTCAGGGCAAGGGTCCACCACTTTCAGCTTATCCACGAGCCATACCTAGGAAGGGGCAAAAAAGAAGAGAGATTAAAGAATGGAACGATGTACGTTGAAAAAAAAGTAAAGAAAAGGGTTTTGAGAGAAAATATAGCGTGAGTGCCGAGTGATGTGAGAATCACATATATAAGAAAGGGTGGAGAACAGTACCTGGAGTAGTAATGGACTTCCCGCAAACCTGGTGGTCTCTCGCCGATGAAAAGCAGCTAAGCCCATCAGTGTCTCGATCAGTGCTAAACCAATGCAGCTCTTACCATCTTTCAGGCGTTGGGCTACTTCGATTAGCTTAATGCTAGCTCCGTCGCAACTAAGGGCAAGAAGAAAATGCGCGAGCATACATAAACAGAGGGCATGTTGCTGAAAGCCTCACCAGAGAAGGTCACCTCTGTCTCTGATGTCAGAAAACTGATGAACCGGGTACATTTAGCTCCCCGTCATGAGCTAAGGATCGAGCTTCGTGCAAAGTAAGCCCACACATTCGTCCCAAAGCCAGGGCATGGCCAAAACAGGACCAAGGCATGAATTCCTCATCGCATTGGGATTCTAGCAATGCTTGAAACTCTTCAAGGGTCGGGCACATTTCTTGTTCTCCAAAGCCAAATACATGTGTCATCGGGTCCCAACATCAGGCCGCAGCATGGAGGAACGGAAAACAAAGTGGAGTACGGCTCAACAGAAAAAATGCGTTTATGCTGAAACCTCATAAATTTACCTTTTTTATGCCGTCTAAAGTGGTTATCCAATCTTTGAGTTTCTTGGCAAGGAAGATCTCCATTTTGAAAGAAAACACCAGCTAAGAGAAGGTTTTGGTAAAGAAATTGCGAAGGGGGACCTTTTATAGAAGGTAGGGCTATGAGTGAAGGACAGCTGTCAACCATCTGTGGCCGCCCACTTTTAGTGGCCTGGCAAGTTGGCAGTTTGTTTTTGTCCTGGTCTTTGTGTTTTGGGGTTTTGTTTTGAGTCTTTTGTTTTGAGCAAATGTAAATAGTTGCATTTAAGTGGTTTTTACTTCATTTTTCTTTTATCAAGTTGTATTTTGTATTTTCGTTGGTCGTTGGTTGGCTCATTATCCAATTAAGAACATTATTCTAATACAAGCATTCTTGGTTTCAAATCCAACTCCATTTTCATTCTATGTAAATGTGGTGCTCATGATGTAAAAACAATAACTCTTTTCATAAAACTATAGGGTTTTCCCCCGATCATAGTTTTTTTACAAAAGAGAGTACAAGTTTTCAAAAGCGAAAGTAAAAGCCTATCTGAAGCTATACATGTGTTAAACTACCAAAATAAAGGAAACTAAGAAAAAGAGTACAAAAATTTGTGCCATTCATATCAAGTTCGAGAAGCCCTCTTTGTCCTCTTCCTCGAAGGAGACTCAGGGGCACTGTCTCCATCGGTGTCGCTATCAGAATCAGGCTCCGAGCCAAAGCCAGTGTCATCATCTCCGCTCCTTAACTCAGAGCCAGCCTCGGCCTCGTCTCCGCTCTTTGATCCCGAGCAAGCATCATCGTCTTCGCTCTCAGACTCAAAGCGTCGGCTCACTGCCTCCTTGGAGTCGCTGGTCTTAGTATGATCCCCACTCAAAACTAGCTCATAGCTGCTCCGACTCTGAGCACCTCTGTTTATGCCTTGGTCTCAACACTCATCACGGCCGCGTATTGGAGCATATCTACCTATCTTCTCTGCCGCTGGAGGAAGTGCTGCCGATGCCCTTGGTGCAAGTGGAACCTGGAAAATAAGCATCAAAATATCAGATACAGTGTATGAATTGTTATAGAATATAGTATATAGTATGAGTATGGTACAGAAAACGGGTGCAGTGTGTCAGAACAGTGTGTCAATGCAATGTGAAGCAATATCAGAATGTATGTCAGTACGCAGTGTATCACCGAGAGTGTCGCACAGTGTGTCAGTGGGAATATGGCATGTCAGTACAGTGTGGGAAGCAATGCAATACATGAGGGGAAAGGATGTATACCTGGATACTATGCAAAGTGAATAGCATCTCCCTCATCTGCACCATGTGAACTTGAGAGGTAACCAGTAGAAGAAGGCCCTTTGTATACTCTGTGGGTGCTTGGAAGTGAAATTGAATAATCAATATCCGAAAAGAGGAAGACTACAGGATGCAAGGTATCAAGTATGGTCCATACCTAAGGTGCGCCCAGGGCTCTGACATACCTGTGCCCAGCCTCTGATGGCTCAATCAGGCTTTGGTCGCCCGTAAGGGATCGTAGTGGGAATTTCCCGCACAATAGGAGGGGCCGCTCCAATACCAGCCTCGACCTCCTGATCAGCCTCTCCAGCCAAAAGAGCACCTGATATGTCGCTTGCGTGAACCCTAGTCAAGGGTGGCATAAGATGAGTCTGGATGAAGGTCGTGTAGTCGACCTCCCCTCTGAAGTAGTTGGCATCCAGCCCTACCATATACTGAATAATGGCTTCAGCTAAGAGGCTATCAGTTGTCCTCATGGATGCTGGAGGCGGCATAGGAACAACCGAGGCAGGCAAGCCCAGTGTCTGGTGTACAAACCGTTCTCCCAAGAACCAAGCCTGGCAGAATGGGCCCTCCAGCAAAATCCAGTATCGAGAGGTAGCCCAAGCCATAACATATTGGTCTCTAACTCCTGCTAGCATCGTCACCCATGGCTATCACGTGATCTGCAAATAGAGAAGGTACAAGATGTTAGTTACTTTCAGTTGTCAGAATATAGATCATAACAGTAGCAAGGGGAAGAAGGTAGAAATGATTGTGAGTTTCAGATTACCTCGCGGGCAACCACTGTGTCGAAGTAGCGACGATAGAAGGCAAAGGTCTTGTCCTCGAGGCTCCAGTGGCGGCATCTGCCATCATACCGCCACAAGTAGGGCACGGCCAGAGCAATCTCTTCCATCGGCTCTGGAGCAATGGTTGGGAAATAGGGGTAAATCCACAACTGCAAGAAAAGATCAGCAGTGCATATCAATAGTGTGTGAACAGATATTAAACAAAAAGTGCGAAGTAAAAGGAACAGTGTGTAAACAGATATTAAACAGAAAGTGCTAAGCAGAAGGCATAGTGTGTGAACATATATTAAACAGAGAGTGCAAGGCAGAAAGCACAATGCATGAACAGATATAAGGCAAAAAATGCAAAGCAGAAAGCATAAGAAAAACATAATCGAAATTGCAGTCCATACCTCCCATGCTCTCCAGTAACTTCTAACCCTGTCTCCCTTTATGCGGGAACTGAAGCTCATGTAGACGTAGAGTGTGGCAAGGCTGGCTCCACCCCAGTCGTAAAATCGGACCTAGGGTAGGGTCACAAGGGCATTCAACAAGTACATATCCACGGTATTCCACCTGTCCGCGAAAAAGGTGGTACCAAGAAGGTACATCAAGAAGCCCCAAGCGTATTGCTCTACCTCCTCCTGCATCTTAGGCTGACTCCTCCAGAAGTGCTCGAGGAACCAACTATATCGCACCAGAGCTGGCTTGTATAGGGGCAGTGTCACAACCCAAACCCACCCTTATAGGTTTAGCGTTGTAACCGGCCAGGAATCTTAGATTACTTTCAGCCTCAAAGACAAATTTTCAAAATATTTAAATCATATCGAGGCCTAAAGCAGAAGCAAAACAAAAATAATAATGTTCATTGAGCTTGTGCATACATGGTGACTAAATAATTAAAACATTTAAACAAAATAATAACATACATACAAATACAAATCACACACACATATATATATATATATATCTCACACACATACACATTTAAGACTCAGCAAAATGCAAAGCTCTGACAAAGCTAAGGGGCTGATTTACTTGGCTTTATTCGAGCGTAACTTGCTCCATTTCGGAAGCTCTTCAAAAGGCTGACACGGGTAGACTCCGAGGCTATCTCTATCCTTGTTGCTCAGTTTGCTCACCTACATATACATATAAATAGTGAGCTAAAGCCCAGCGAATAATAACAGAATAAAGTGTTCAAATGAATGAAGTTCGACGATAATAGACAAACTCGGCTTAAGATTTCAAAACAAATATTAACTCATTTTCAAAGTAAGGCATTTGCCATATTATATCAAACTTTATAACAAAACATTTTCCATATCAAATCATATATTTTAATTTCTGAATCAATCTATGTCAATAGGCAAAACAATTTGATTAGCCATCATATCAATCCTTTGCAACGACAAAAACCATTGTTCGATAGCATTTTCAATACAATTCTAATTTCAATTCAATTCTCAATGATCCATGTTATCTCAATATCAATACTCATTCAATGACAATTTACATGCTGCATCCACTAGAGTAACAACGTATCAATAACAATGAGACCTCAAAAGTCAATCAATGGAACCATAATGGGTCAATAAATATATCATATCCAATGTGACCATTAAGGTCAAACAGTAGAGATCTCTATGTTTCAATTATCCAATGGGCCACGGTATTGTTTCCCCCGGAAGAGGGCCACTAGGCCATGGTATTAATTTCCCTCAAGCAAGGGCCTCTTTATCAATGGGCCATGGTATTATATCCCCCAGGTGAGGGCCTATTAAGCAATGGGCCATGGTATTATAACCCCCAGGCGAGAACCTATTAAGCAATGGGTCGTGGTATTATATCCCCCAGACGAGGGCCTATTAAGCAATGGGCCATGTGTAGACGTCCCTGAACGCCCCAGAAGGGTGAGCTCCCGTTCTGTTCATTTGGGGTCACTACAGCTCAGGACTCTCAAATTGTCACGGTTCTAAGTCTGAACCAAAGAGTCCAAATCCGGCAAATCGTTTTGAGAAAACAGATTTTTAGAAAAGAAGTGCCAAATATGGACTGCTTTGCCAGATACAGAGTCGCCACCTAAATATTTTATTTTGGGAAATTTAGGAAACCCTGACTCGTTTGCCTAAGGCCACGTGTCCGTCATCACCAAAGTTGTCTCGGCTCGAGAACTTGGGTACGATTGGGGAAGGTCACTTCGTGAGCACCGCCGCTCGCCCGATCAAAGATCGGCCTCTACTAACCATGATATCAAGTTTTGAAAACATTGTGTGTTCTTATTCCGGTTATTAGCCTAGATTACTATGTGATGCGCACAGCATACAAGTATAGACTAGATCATCAGAATTGGAACAAAACATTTCATGTTTGTTTATTTGAAAGATGGTTTGCTACTCGCAAGTAGGCTTAAAATATAGATTTTGCCACCCTCAGGTGGGCTTAGAAAAGATGGTTTTGCCACTATCTAGTGGGCTTAAAACTCACAGTTGATGATTTATTCCAATCCAAGTAACCCAACCTTCACCCACAGGCATTCAGGCAGCTATATCACATAAGCACATAGCCTCATGGTAAGCATGCTATTCATGGCAGTCACTCACACGCATGCAAGGATGCTAAAGCATAAAATTCACCGAGTACTCCAAGCCAAAAAAGAAGCTAATTAGAAATCCATACATGATCCTAATTATACAGAAATGCCTAATGCAACACATGCAAAAATGCAACTATAGCAGGCTTGGCTATTCTAAACATGGCATGTGAAATGCTACAGCTAACATGTATTCAATTTGGAATTGAAAGTACAATGCAGTTAGTATGATGTGCCGAGCCCGGTGCATGCAAAACAGATGAATGAATGCAAACATGCTATCATACTGTACGCTAATTGAAATATGCCCTAATCTAACCATCATAAGCGAATAAATAAAAGGGAGAAAGACGTGGGGTTGGAAGACATACAACACACACACGCACACTTATTACAGTTGTGCCCTCGCGCAGAGGGTCCGAATGAATAGTACAGTCCAAATAATACAGTCCAAATATATACAAATTCCTAATTAATTTACAAATTAACTAAGAAAAATAAATAAACTGGCATGCAAGCAGGGACTGCCTTGGCTCTTCTTCCGATGATGGATGATGCATGTCTGGGCTGCCTTGTGCGGAAATCCACTGGGATGCCCCAATTAGCCTCTGTTTTGCAATTTATTCTTGGAAAGCGCACCGAGCTCTGGAAGGTTGCTAATTCTTGATTTGCTGCAACAGAGCGCAGAAAAGGGACATAGCAATGTATTTTCACAAATATATGCATGCCTCGATCCTCGTGCCACCAATCACGCATCTTGATGCATGATGGCTGAGGAGTCGAATTGTGCAACTTAATATAGAAAGAATGCAAATGAAAACAAAACAAAACCTAGACTCCATCATGGATAATCCGGAGTGTCGGCGACTTGGAATTGAGACACGTTCCGTCACTCGGAGTACGAAACGTACCTCGTTTCCCGTGCTCGGGCTAACCCCTATCCCAAGAATAATGCAATATGCATGACATGCATGAATGCAATTAATATACAGCCTAGCATGCACAATGCTATAAGATGGCATACACGAGGCACGAGGTAACATGGCATACACAATGCTCTAACATACAACCTAGCATACGCAATGCTATGAAATAAAATGGCATACACAATGCACAATGGACTTACACCAACACAAGTGGACCTCAGCCACACTCACATAGGAGGCCATTAGATGAAAATGAGACAACTCTGAAATGCGTGCACGCATGCACGCAAACCGAGGACCGACCCTAAGGCACCAAAATGCCACTCTAACAAGATATGGCAAAGCATGGAATATGGCATACAAGCACGAAAATTTCAGCGCTAAAATATGACCCAAAACAGTCCCGAAAGATAGCAAAATAGCACCCGATGCATGAAATGAAACCGAAATGCAAGATTAAGCACATGAAATGACTTGTAGCCACATCAAGAATGCATTATTTGATCATGACATGTAAAGACAGATTCAAGGAAGCCCCAAAACAAGCATGTTTTCAGTTCTAAGTAAGGCCAAACAGAAAACACAAATAGGGAAAAACTAGCATGCAAAAATGGCCCTAAATGTGAGATAAAGAAGCAACTCACAGCTTCTGATCCCCAAACAGATTAGGGCCCTTCAACAATGTTGAAGAGGGGCCCAAAATATGACCTTTTACAGTTCACAACAAACCCCAAAAACCAGCACAGGTATGGCTAAGATCTCATGCAAGAAAAGGGCCAAAAGATGGACAAAGAAGCAAGTAGTGGTTTCTGGCCTTAAACACAAAGGGGCCCTTCAAAAATGTTGAAGAGGGGCCAAAAATGATGCACTTTACAGTTGATGGTTGGACCCAAAACAGTATGCAAACATGCTCAAAATGCTATGCAAAATAAGGCCAAAAAGAGAGATATAACACAAAGTATACAAAGGATGCCTCAAACCATGAAAGACCCTTAATGAAACATGAGTATGGGGTCAAAATAAGGCCATTTGTAGTTCGGACCACTGCCCAAAAACAGAAGAAAAATAGGCTAACAAATCATGCAAAAATGGAGCCAAAATAGAGATATAAAGGCATGTGGAAGATAGAAGCATCAAACAGCAATGCGCCCTTCAACAATGTTGAAGAAGGGCTCAAAATAAGCTACTTTCAGTTCATGATAGAGCTCAAAACAGTTTATACATAGGCCAAAAATACTACACAAGGCAATGGCATACAAGAGGGATAAAAGTAAATTCGCCAAGGAGGCCTCAAACAGTGAGAGGCCCTTAATGAAACATGAAAAATGGCTCAAAATAAGCCTAGTTCCAATTAGGTTTGGAGCCCAAAATAGCAAGCAAGAATGACTTATGTATTGAACAAAATATGGACCAAAAAGGGGGAAATGGAGCTTACCCTTGAAGACTTGACTTTGGCACTTTTTTGGCTTGAGTTGCAGCACTCCTAGGCCTTGAAGAACAACCTCCAGCTGCTGGAATGAAGGATGGAAGGGTGAGGCTATGGGTTGGTGAAGAAAAGGGGGTAGGACTTGAGAGGTTGGAGGGTTAAAGTGTATAGAGGGAGAGAGATACAACAAGAGGCTTAGGGGGGGAATCTTGTAACCCTAATATCAGAGCTGGAGCCTCTGATATATAGGCAAAAGGAGGGGGAAAATGGAGGGAAAACCAACCAAGTTTCCCTCCAAAATGCAGCCCCCCGGATACAAAATCTGGGGGGAAAATGAATGCACTTCTGCACCGTAGATGATGTGAGGATCCTGGCCGGCCAGTTATCCAGGTTGCAGGTGGCCGGCCGACTACTTGCCATGGCCGACCGGCCAAGGGTCAAAAGGGTCAATGAGAATTAATGGCCGGCCACCACAGAAAGAGAGCCTCTGATGTGTGCACAACACAACCCTATGGTTGAACACTGGAAAAAGTGAACCAGGAGAGAGAACAACCCACTTTTCAAAGGGGTTCAAAAAGGTTAACAACAATTACTGGTCGGCCACCAAATATTGGTGGCCTCCCAGGTGTGTACATCACAAATATGTGGTTTAGGGTTCAAGAAAATGGCCCAAGGGTGTTCAACATTGGCTTTGAAGTGAGGAAAAACGGGCGACGGAGGGCGATGAAGGGATAAAGTTGGCTGATAGAACAATTACTGGCCTCCCACCCTTCTACGGCCTTCTTACCAATAAAACAGAGGTCCCTGCCAAAAATGAACCAAAACCAATGCAGAATGAAGGTTCGGGGGCCGAAACACACAGTTCGGGGCCCCG